TACGAGTCCCACCAGTTTGCCCAAGGGAACAGCTACTGTATGTCTTGACCTAAAGAAACAAAATAAGAAACATATACATGACTTGCACAAACCCAGAACATCTATCACGTTGGACATCTCCTTTTCGGCGTCCTTCTCCAGGCCCTCCAAGCCCCTCCACCCGCGGCCGGAGCGGAGCCCAGGATCACCCATGTCTTCCGTCCCAATGGTCCTCCAGCGGCGAACTACCCGGTGGAGGTGGAGTCGAACAATGCCATGGCCAACCAACCGACGGTGGGGGCGAAACTTGCAGGGTGGTGGGTGGTTCGGGGGAGAGAAGGACGGTGACCGGTAGAAAGCGAGGTCTTCATGAACATTGTAGAACCATATTTGCTAAGCTGATGCTTTCCAAACATATAGATGCAGACACTTATATGTGTGATGTTTGAATGTGGGAGAAGCTTCAAATGAATCAAGCCGTTGGTTTTTCAGGTGCCTGGAAATGCATCACATCTCCTCCCTAGGCAGCATCAAACCTCCAATTTGTGTTTGCCCGGGTTCATACCTCCAACTTCTACTCTTCGCGTGCCCCACACTCCACCGATCCTTGGGGAATCCGTCGGGGTCGTCGTTTGGTCAAGTGCTTAACTGACCGATCCTTGGAGTTGCTGCGGTGAAACCCACCGCACCACTTAAGAGGTTTACAAGTTCCCCTGCAGAAAACATGCTGAAAACATGCTGAAAAATTGGCCGTTTTTTAATTTTCTGTCCAAACTTCCATGGTCAGAGGCAAAAGGAAGTTTGCCATGACTTCATAAATCCCTTGGTTGTAGACTAATTGTGGAGGTGCTTATAGGCTCCGCCTATAGTTGGCAAAGGGTGAAGCCCGTCCGTCTATAGGAGATTCTGCTCTTCTCAGTGCTGAGCATAGGAAGAAACCACCAAGTAGCCCGGAGCCCTGAACAATTCTGGGTGTTAGTGGGTGTTTGTCCAAGGCCAACGTCCTTGGCACTGTAATGCACTGCGTTTGTTCTTCCAAGACCCAGATTTCTCGCACAAAAACGGATAAAAACTCACTCTTCGCTTGGATGAAGCACTCCGTTTCAGGCGGGAAAGACACCATCCGTCTCCCGTTTCCCTGCGGTGTGCTCCAAATGCGGATCCTTCCCAGGTGGACCACAGCTGGACAGGCGTTTGGGCGCCCCAGCACGTCGTCGGGCGAGCCCGGCTGATTGTGGGCAAGCACGAGTCTTGGATGCGGCCTAAGACGTCGAGAGGGTCGTCGGTTTGATTCTAAAGAGAGGGACATGACCCAACCCACCCCAAAAAGACAGTAATTATTTACTTGTATCCAAAAAGACACAGTAATTATAATGCTCAGGGCAGAACATACCTTAAGGGTGCTGGTTAGAGTTCCACTTTCTAGTGTACAAACCTCATTCTGGACTTGCACCGCCCAGTTGCCCAGGACGGAAATGCCTGGCACTTTTCCTCTTCTGTGCCGTAGGGCCAGGTGATTTGCCACTGGCCGTCGCCAGCGTTCCGCCGCGAGCAAGTTCTTAGCGGCGTTCCGTTCCGCTGCTGGCGCCAGCTGAAATTAAGCCGTTGAAATGTTTGCATTACTTCCGGGATCTCTTGAACAAAAGGAGAACTTCCCAACTCAACTGATGTGTTCGAGTCTAGCTCGACTCTTTTCCCAATGTGGGCACAAAAGAGGCCTGGACACTCGACACTGTCCTTGATGAAGCTCGGGCGTTCTTCCTTCACAGACCAAACTAAACTGCCATTGGCAATGAGGAGGGACTTGGAGATGGTGAGTGAAGAAATCCCAGCGTATGGATCTACAGGTTGTTTTTAGCTAGATGGAACTGCCCAAAAGTCTACCTCCACAACCACGGATATATCCTCCAAATAATACATTATAATATATTAGACATATAGGTTGATTGGATTGACGTTTGAACTCTTTGGACAACAGATAGAAAGACGAGAAAGACATCTACCCGAGACGCTTGGCTTCCAGTCCAGCCACAGATCCCACCGTGACCGCGCGAGACACCCCACCCGCCCAGAGGCTCTTCGTAGGGTGTACCAGACCTTCGAACACATCACTGTACCGAAACGAGGGTGGCGGATCCATAGGGCGGCTGGATCCACATACTTAAGTAAAAGTCAACAAGCAATATGGCTGGGATGGCTGGGATGTGGTGTCGGCTGCGGTGTCAGCCACTTGCGGAATGACTTGCTGGTTGTGTGTTGTATGTGTCACTAATTACTTCTTGTTTGTCGTGTTGTGTGTGTGTGTGCCTTGCACCTATTTTGGTTGCAGTCGCTCTGTGTTGTAAGTGTCATAGGTTTGTTGCCTGCTGTTGTGTTTGTGCTTGGGTGATGCGCTGCAGCTGAGTCAGAGGTCACGATAAGGTCAGTTGTCTATTTAAATCGAACACTTGAAGGGTGGTATTTAGACCCCAATTGAGTGGAGTGTTTGGCTGCCCAGAGCCAATCAATCACTGATCATTATGTATGCTTTGGCCTTGAATCGCTTTTGGGTCTCAGAGAAAGTAACATGAAGAATCTGATTGATGTTCTTACGAAACTCCGTGCCACCAGAACGGCATTCTGCATATTTTGATGGTTTCTGACATGGGGCCGGGTGAGCTGACAGTGGCTGACGGCTCGGACGCCGGAGCTTTGTCAAGTAATTTCGATCACTTTTTTGGGACCGCGCGCGCGAATCTCGACCGCGCCGTAGCCGCTGTACCCAGTGCGCGTGGCCAAATTTGGTGCACGTGTCAAAGACGGAGCAGGACAAACCCTGCAAAAGTGGAAGAAATTCTTAAAGGAAGATACCCTTGGGAGAAACTCTCTGTGTTGTCTGGATTTCAGTCCTCAGTCTTTGAGACCAATCCATTTAATCCTTCAGATCGGCTGGCCAGTCAATTTGTCCCTGGTCGGACCATGCAGACGAAGGAGCTACAAACCGACTCAAAATCAAGGTCACAAGGACGAAAAAACCATGTGTGGAGCTGCGGGAACGGCGCGGCAACGGCGGGAACGGCAGGATGACCGAGCAGCGCTGCAGGGGAAACCCCTCCTGGTCGCTTGCGACGGTTGGATGACCCAGGGAGTCGAAAACCCAGGGAAGACGCTAATATAGAGTGTGTTTGAACGCGCAAAGTGTGTCACAGAAGTGTGCCAAGTGCGAGGGCATGCGAGGTCTTTTTCAGAAGTCCAGTTCTGATCATACCCCATCTACTCATTCTGGCTACTAATGTCCGCTTAAATACGCTACTTACCAGGACCTTCAAAGTGACCTCTTTGGCGTCTCTAAGTGGCCTCTTTAGGGTCTAAGTGACCTCATTCTGAGATCTCAAAAGGTCACTTTGAAGGTCCTGGTATATAGTTAAACACGTTAAACAGCCCCCTCCCCTACCCAAACGAGGGAGACTGGATAGAGTCAAGCCCACCAAAACTATTTAGGTTTTACATGTTATTGCTATTTCAATCATGTTGTTACTTTTAGTATATTAGTAGTACATAGTTATAGTGGTAGTGGTAGTAGTGATGAGTTGAAATCAAGCAAACCTCAGAAGAGCTTGAACAAGGATCTTAAAGAGCAGCAATAGCAGAACATAGCAGAACAATAGAAAAGCAAGCTTTTATACATTTAGATACTTTCCCAATGATTCGACAACATAGACCATATAGAGCTTAGAAAAAAAGGATCCTGGAGCCATTCAAAACACTTGGTTGTTATGGACCAGTCCTGAAGTTTGCTTCGACTCGACTCCGGGGTTTGGTCGAAGCAAAGCACCAGAGCTGGACAGGCGTCTTATGGCGTCTTCACTTGGACTGTGAAAAGTATCCATGTTCACATGGCATCCAAAACCACATTTGATCCGACCAGATCCGCCCTGGTCCATGGCCTTCTACTGGTAGGTGGATCAATACAAGTTGGTTATGACAGACTGTTTAACTCTGTGTAGTTGAGATATAAGTCATATAACATCATATATATATATAAATTATCTATAATTGCTCTTTTTTATGACAATATAGATTGTAGATCTTTTTTTTGCGATAGCCGACGGCAGTGCCTGTGACCGCATGTGCACTTAATTACGAATTCTTGCAACTGCACAAGTGCGCCCACACCAGACAAGCCTTTAGCAATTTCAAGGGCGCCTGATTATAGCAAAGGAGCCCTATACAAAATGCTTCAGGTTCTTGACAGGAGGGCGACCTTACCCCACTTCTCGAACGCGGGATAATAAAACATAAAAGGACGTGGAAAACAAATGACAGCTAGCAAAACTTTCCTCTGTCTGTACTGTCTGATCCAGCTGTCAATCGATGCAGCTACCTACTCTCACGACAAATCAATGGACAAATTCAATCGGATCCTCGTTTGCACTGCATTCGCCAAAGTAAATGGCCCCAAACCACCACGCCACATGGTGAAAGCTATCACGGCGCACAGGCGAAGCTCATAAAGAAAGCTATCAAAGCACCACAGCATATCTCACGAATCCGTGGCTGGCTGAAAAGAACACCACACTCCTCCATGGTGTCTGGCTCCATCACAATCAATGCCCTTTTTGTTGCACAAGGCAAGTACAAAACAAGTACTTCCTTCAAAGGGTGGATCTGGCCACCCATACCAGCCTCTAAGTTGCACAGCCCCAGATCTTCCTCCATGGTCTGGTGGAGGCCATCCTCGAAGCACACAAGACCACACGCCCGGCTTGGAAAGCTGGCGCACCCATATAGATGTCCCGTCAAGTCGTGAGAAGTCAACCGCACTGGCCACTATCAAGTGCCAACACCGAAGCCATGGCGGACGTGGGATTTTCCCCACTGGGGTTCTGAGATTCCCTGCGCTACAGGCCATCTGGAGCCATAGATTGTAGATTAAAAACAACAACCAACATACGTGTCGTATACAAACCAAGTTACATTTGGTACCTGGCACTTGGTTTCCTCTACTCCCAAGGTCGCTGCTCCCTCGTTGCATGCGCCAGGATCCTCCCAGATGTGATCAGCTTCAACGGCGCTCTGAACGCCTTGACGCGTGCGGCCCGCTGGACGCAGGCGCTGGAGCTCTTCGCCGCGCTGCGCAGGTGTGGCGGGTGGCCACCGTGATGTGGGGGGAAAGAGGGGTGTCGATGGGTCCTGAGATGTGCGGATCTTGGTGCATTTGTTGGGAGTTTTGATGCTTACGTGGAAAAAGAACTCCTGCAAAACCCCCTCACGTCGGGGGATGGGTTTCTCTAAAGATCAACAGGTGGGAAAAAGGTTCACCGTACATTTCAAACTTATCCTTCACCAGAGGGCTTTGGTGGTAATTACTCCGTTTTTGAGCCAACAACTAGGTCTAGAGACTCAACTAGGTCTAGAGACTGATACTTGTGACCTGGGTTTTCCGGCGACTCCCGGGCGACCAAGACTGCCTCGACCCCGAGGTCTTGGTCGTGCGGAAAATGGGACAGAACCCTAACCAGACACTCCATGGGACTGGAATAGTTCATAGTTACAAGCAGCATGTACTCCATTCAAATGACAATAAATGAATTAATCCTATTCCATACATGGAATGTTTGGGCTAAAAAGACACAGATACAAAGATATGGTTTTCCACTTCCATGATTCTACGGAGTGTATACTTGTATATGTGTTTTTTTTGGGGGTACTTTGAGACTTCAGGTGGTGCCATTATTGCAAGAAGGCGACGAAAACCGGTTGAGCCGCGCCAAGTGTTTTTTAGCCTGATGGATCGACATCTCTATGTATCTACAGTACTACATCTCTATATACCTGTCCCATGAATGATCAGTAACAGTCGGTAAGCAAATGTTACTATTTGGGGAAAACGGTCCTTACTAACCATCATCTCACCATCCACTGGGCCCTTGCCAAATCTTTGCCTACCATGACGCGTCCTCGACATCATGTCCCAGGACCTTCAAAGTGATCGTCCTCGACATATGTTTCATCACAGTCCCGGGTCACAGGTCACGAACGGAGACTCCAAAGCTGGTTACTGGTCACCGGTCCTGGTGACTTTGACCAGTTGATCTGGTTGGAACCCTCAAAAGGTCGAGTCGAAGCCCGGTCAGATCAGCTGTCCATGGCCCAGTCGCAAGTGGCTTCTCCGGCCTCGATGTTCGTCGTCGCCAGGTGTCTTCAGCCCAGTCAGATCAGCTTTCCTGGCTGCACAGCGAACGCGCGGTTGGGCCATGGAGAGGAAAACGGAGTGTGCCCTCACAACTCGGCATGTGGACACTCCAAAGTACCGAAAATATAACACAGGTACTATAGCCCCCTAAGGGGTGGTCAATGGACACCCCTAAGGCTTTTAATAGACAGTTGATGGTACTGGACGGGACTTGTCATTGTACTCATTTTCCGAGGTACAAACAGGTCACCTCGAAAGATTGATACAGTTGCATCTTGACCTCTTGATCTTGGATCTTTTCCAGGTCAACTGGGCCAACTCCAGCTGTTTTGATCCATTGGTGCTGAGAGCCAGGGGGGCGGGCACAACGAAGAGCTTCGATGAGTCGAGCTTCGATGCAGAGTAGACGTAAGTGTCGGTGTGTATTTGAATATGGAGAGACCTCCTGGCCTAATAGGCATAGACAGTTTTTGTGGTCCCTTGATCCAAAGGGTCGGAACACCTGGGAGTTCTCCGTATACTTCAATACGTCCAGGCGTTTTCGTTGGACCTTCAGCAGCTGAGAAATTCTCAAGCAGAACGTCGCTGAAGAGGTTTTCTGCTGATGTAGCCCTATAGTAGATATTGCCGTTTCATTGAAGATAGGTGCAGCCTTCTTGTAAGCAGCATCCAAACCATGGCGCAGGTATAGAGATTCCAGCTGGATTGTGTGGTTGCTTCCAAACTGAGAAGCTTTGATTGACCGTAATTCGATCACTTATTGTAATGTGGGGAAGCCCAGGTTTCAGCACTCTGATCTCCGCCAGCAGCAGTGCTGGGCAGTGGCGCATTGCCTTGAACTTTGGACAGCAGTTCAGGGTGAAACATAGAAGGCCACTAGCACCTCAGGAAATGGGTATGATGGTACATGATTGGACATGTTTTTTGATTACTTTTGGCCTTTAACTGTTCTTGGTACTTTGGGGACTCCACGTGTAGTCACAGTCATCCAGGAACCCAGCCAAAAAAGGATTATTCATGGTTTTTGTTGTTTACATGCTGAAGGAGAAACACAGTTGGAAGGCAAGATCAGCCAGGAGGAACACTAGCAAAAAGCAAGATCAGCAAGGGTCAGCACAGCCCGCAGGGAACAAGAAGATAGGCAAGAACAGTGAAACATCAAAAGACATAGGCAAAGATAGTCGCAGACACATTGCCCAGAGAAAGACACACTAGCTGTCTTTATTGGCTGCTGTTTTGAAATACAACCCCTGGTTCTGCTGGAGAGGCTTCCTTGTGTTTAGAAAGAGCAGGACAGACATAGGCTACACAGGTGTAGTGACAGACATAGGTTGAATTAAAACGACTGAGATCAAATGATGATACGACGACGAACTAAACTTGCTTGCTCAAGAGTTGTGGTGCTGTTGTTTCCCTTGTTGAGAAGAACTAAATGCAAAAATAGACCATGATCATGATCACCTGTTCAAGCACCCTGACCACTGGGTTGAACATTGGACCCTCTTCTGGCTGTTGTTTTGGCTGTTGCTTTTTTAAGCCATGTAATATGTGCAACCCATTTGGGAACCGCAGCCAGCTGTGCTGGGAATATTGCTGGCTATTAAGATGTCAGATATTAAGTTATTGATGATTATATGGTAAACCTTGCCTGAACAGGTGGTTTCTAGAGCAACACATGTTCTTATGACTAGCAACTTGCAGCTGCAAAATGTTTAAACTCTACGAAAAGTTCTATATATCAAGTATGTGCACAATCAAGTACCAGCACATAGGATATCATAGGGTTAGATAAAAAGAGACAGAGAGGGTCCTCGTCGCCGAGCTGAAGGACGCAAAGGATTTTTAGCGGCTTAATGACTCACCGCAAGTTTGACTGCACATCTCATAGCAAATTCACTGCAATAATGTTTCACTGCTGCACATCTCCTAGCAAGTTCACTGCAATAATATGTTTCACTGACCGATTGAGCTCTCAGATTGAGCTCTCAGTGTATTTGGTTAACTTCATACATATATATATATAAATATATTAACTTTTGTTTGCAGTGAAACATTATTGCAGTGAATTTGCTGGGAAATGTGCAGCACTTTGAAGCCAGGAAACCTAAACCATGTTGTACTTTCTTGAAAATCCGATAACCTAATATATAGATCATAGTATAGTATCATCACTCAAGGCTGCAACAGGATGCAGATGCAGATCCTGGTGCTTTTGAAGCACAGGGTGGATGCACAGGACTCCGACTCAAAGACTTTTACAGAGACAGTTGTTGGTCTTTGTTTGGTTTCCTCCACTATCCACAATATCTTTGAGCCCTTGATCCTGCATTTAACTCCTGCGATCATTGACCCAGAGCTCCACTCCTGGGTGTCATTGAGTTCCAATCGTGAGAAATCGCTGCATGTTTTTTCAGAAACAGCGGTTCCTCCTGACTCGTGGTTGAGATGGCGTTCATTCCTTTTTGTGTATCCAAAACGGCGGTTCCAGATCTGGGACTCAGTGGATGAGCAATGAGAGAGCCACAGAATGCCACACCTTTCAGAAACCCGAGGGCTTCAACATACCTCCGTTTCGAAGGTGGTAGGGCTGGGAACCAGGGGAGTTGGTCCTTGCCTTCGGACCTACATGCCTTCGGAGCCTTTGTCCCCCTGGTCATAGACCTGTTTTGTCCAGTCGACCTCGAGGCATTTGCTGCAACAGATGATCCAAGAAGAGTTGCAGCCAGGCTGGATGGATGGCAGATGGTTGGTGAAGCAAGGAGCAGTGAGGGGCAGGAAGTGGCAGGTCAGTCTATACATGATGTTGTTTCCAGGGAAAGGCTCAACACATGGTAACACATGTGTGTTTTCCAAGTTCAATGAAACACTCAAGACCTTGCATATTGCGCAACAGGCAAAAGCATGGGGGTCCAAAAACGGGTCTAGACCCCAAGACGGCAGTGTCGACTCCGTAACTCTCCAAGAGATCAAAGCCCTGCTTGGGAGCCAAAGAGAGTGGCAGTGCTCAACGTTCTTTGATTTGTTTACTGAACCGGCGGCCTTCCTAGAGTGGCACTGGAAAAAGACGCTAGATTGGCCTATTGGAGCGGATGCTAGGGCTCCTGGCCCGCCTTCTCAGAAGGTAGCTAGACCCCCCTGGCACCCACCCAAAGCACCTTGGAGTCATGGAGGTAGGCCAGGATCCCAAGGGATCATTTTTGTGTTTGCACCATCGAAGACACTTGATTGGGGTATATATTTGCACAACCATGTTGGACACGCTGCCACGGTGCGTTGGGAGTTCCTGGGGAATGAAGATTCTCCCACTGGTGCCCATCAATCCAACTCAGCATGCTTCACCAACACCCACTCTTCGTCGCGTGGTCGGCCCACGCGCGTGGTCTGCCTGCGTCGCGTCACTGGGAGGCCTTGTGGCCTCCAATGCGGCCCTGAACGCCTTCGAGTCGCTGGGGCAGTGGCGCCGGGCGCTCGAGCTCTTCGTCACCCTGGGTGACTCTCCGGATGTGGCTTCGGCCAGAGGGGAGAACCGAAACGAAGACGACGCGACACAAAACGTCCTCAGGCACCGAGCTGGAGTGGGAGCTGGCATACGGTATTTACATACGGTCAGTGCCAGTCCCATTTCGTCGGGTATTTATACTGGGGTATATATATATATGTATATGATACTGGCATATTAAGATGTATATATGTAACATTGAGGTCAGTGTACAACTAACTAGTACCTGTACCCGGGAGAGATATCGAGAGACACGTTTTTTTCAAGTGGAGTAAGGCTTTGGGATTTACTCAAAATACAAGTTCAGGGCCCACGTGAGTGCATCTCGCCAAAACCCATTTCGAAGAGACCTCCCAGCTACTTCCAAGGTAGAAGCAGCCTCAACCCCCTGCATCTAAAGCTATATAAACAAAGGATATTGGTCTGAACTGGAAGTGCAAAGTGTTCTTTCCCAACAGGGGACCTTCAACAGGGGCTTCAAAGCTCCTGAGCATGTGTGGCCATCTCAAAGATGTTCCTTTTGATAGCAAAGCTTCATCAAGGGATTCACAACTCCCCATAGGGCTGTGTTTGAAGTTCTGTCCTGGCCTAATTAGAGACTACAGCATACATTTCCTTGAGCAAGCGTCCTTGAAGTTGAAAATAGTTGAAACAGAACATTATTTACCAAAAGCTACCCAACATGACCAAACAAGAGGATACAAGTTGTAGGCAAACTTGGAGGCCAAGCAGACACTTAGGGCAAACTGTTCTTTGAGAATGTAAGAAGAACCCAGCCCCCTCCAGATTTCCATCCAGGCGAAGGCAATTTTGGTGATTAGGGTTGTTGTGCCTTGTCCAACCGTGCAGTTGTGATTGATTACTTGCGCTCCCTACCTTTGCTGGCTGTTTTTTGCAGCATGACAAGGGGCATTGGGAATCACCATCAGACATCTGACATCTAGCAGGCTAAGCAAGTCTCTTTGTTCAAAAACTATCCTCCTGCCTGTATACTCTACTCTACAGAATGCCACGGGTTGGGCGTTGATATAAGGCATTTTGTTATAGAGAAACTTGTCTTACCTTCCCAGGTTTGGCATTTTGTAGAGGATATACACTGGGGTGCCAAAAGTTGCGCTTCTTGACTTCTAAAACATCACAAACCCTTTCCCCTTAGAATCCTACGTGCAACATGTCGACACCTCAGTTGCGGTCAGATTTCCACACCTGAAAGCCTTATAAATATTATAAATTTAGACGGGTGTGGAAATCTGACCGTGCTGTACCTGCCACGCAAAATGGACGTGTTAATCCGATCCGCTGTAGACCGCAAGTGTCATGTTGGAACAGAGTAAGAAGCGTAAACTTTAGGGTTCTTGAAGGGTGCTGTTTGTGTTTTTAAGAGGGTGCTGGAAATAACATAAGTTCCATAATTTTGAGATCAACTGGCTTGAAACATATTATATAACTTTGATTATACGTTTATTTGTTCTTAACTTTATAACAGGACAACGTTAATGTCGAACCTGCCAACATTTCTCATGATTAGTTGTAAACACAAGGCTAATACCTAGTAATATCGCAGGGTGCTGTTTGTGTTTTTAAGAAGGCGCTGGAAATAACATAAGTTCCATAGTTTTGAGAT